TACGGAATTAACGCCTACCTCTTGGCTAGGGAGATTGCTGAGGTGGCGCGAAGCGAAGAGCAAGGACTCGGAGGAGGCGGCGGAGGCCGCCGTGGAGGCTAAGCGGGAGAAGTTGGCCAAAGTGCAGAAGGATATCGGCGTACTCAAGGCTTTCTACAAGGACACCTGCAGCCAGTGGATTGATATTGCGCGCCGAAACATCGGCCACGTCGATTGGGCTCCCGAGATCTCCGTCGACGTCCAGGTTTGCAAGTACACCAAGGATATTAGTACGTTCGAGGTTGATGCAGCGAGGTTCAAGGTCCAGTTCAAGGGTAACATTGTCGACTTAGGTGTGTTTTGCCTCATCTCTCTCATATTTACCTCATCTAATAAAAACAACCTTCAGGATCTAAGTTTACTCCCCGGCAGCTCACCGACGTGTTCTACCCTCAAAGTGGCGGTAGGACGGTGTTCAAGTTCCCCGCGAATCGCCAGCTCAGGATCAACGGTTGTGTCACTCTCGAGCTCCTGGCCGTTCCCGACTGTTTCGACAGCAACGGCAAGCCCTGCCTTATCGTCATGAAGGACGGCAACACCACCGACCTCACGGTTGGACGCTACGCCGGCCTGGAGGCCTACCTTTGCAATAGCATTGGCGTCGAGTCCATCGAACTCGCCATCTAAACTACGATAAACAGCCCGCCCCGTTCTCCGCCAAGGGCGACTCCGGCTCGCTCATCTTCGATGGTGAGGGTCGTATGGTCGGTATTTTCCACTCTGGGATGCCTAAAGGCGGGAGCAACCACGTCACCTACACCACCCCTGCCTGGTGGGCCATCGAGCAACTCAAACTCAAGTATCCGCACGCCGGCTTCGACCGCATCGCTTTCTAAACGCGAACATCATCGTCGGCCATCTGCTCTCCCATCTCCCCGCTTCTCCGTCTATGACTTGTTTGCTTCCTCGGCGCTCGGTTATCTATTGGTTGGTTTTTGGTGCAGACAGATGCTTTGATTGCTGGGTGGCTGTAAAGGTTTGTCTCTTTCTTCCGCCTCATCCTTTTGTACGCACAGCTGACAACGTCAAAGCCTGTGCACTGGCGCGCCGTTCCACAGCGTCCTCTTCTGCGAGTTGCCCGTTGGATCGCCGTCTATTTTCGTAGATCTCTGTGTCTTGAAGATACAGAGATCTATGAAAATAATGCCCTGACAATGTCGAAACCTGTGCACTGGCGCGCCGTTCCACAGCGTCCTCTTCTGCGAATTGCCCGTTGGATCGCCGGTTATTTTCATATATTTCTGCATTTTGAAGATGAAGAAATATGCGAAAAGAATGCCCTGATCTGCACAGAAATGGTACCAAGTTCGCTTCTTTCTTTCGTCTCATCTTTTTGCAATGATCACTGACGACCCCAACCTCCAGGCCTTGGCGAACCTTTCACGCTTCGTCTTTTCCCTCGACTTCGTCTCGATTCTCTGCTCGTTATCTATCAGTTGGTTGTCAGTTTCTTTCTGACAGACGCGCGACGCATGGAGCAAAATTCAAAGAGTCGGGGTAGCACATATGCAAAACCTGCGGTCGAGGCGTGTCGTTACCGCGGAGGACGGGGTGCCCGCAGCGTGACAAACCGTTCGTCGCCATGCACCAACACCGCCGCCCTCTGGCATGGCAACCAGCGCGCCCCTTCCCCGTGCCATCGACCCTGCGCAGTGCCCGAAGGTGTGGAGCATCGCGACATCCAGGTCAGCCTCGAACCTTTCTGCCAGCGCCCCACCTTAACCTAGTTTCCTACCCTCTCAGATCCTTTAACTTTAGCACGCCGCTACATGACAAACAGAGCGGCCGGAGGCATCCCGCGGGGGATGCAGAACCCTTAGTCACCGTGTGTGAAAGGTCTCGAGACCTGGTGCGGTGCTAACCTCCAAAAGGGAGCTGCTGCGCTCAATGGAGTCTCCGCGTCCATTACTCACAGTATGGGTTGAGCTACCCGGCCATGTATGATCAACTAGTCCTCATCGGTGTGCTGAAACGCACCTCGTTCACGCAGACGCGGGATAGGCGATCTGCAAGGGCAAGGTTATTACGATATCTCGATCTCAGGGCGCGACGCGATGAAGCCTAAGCCCATCGAGGAATCAGACAGGGACAGGGTACACTGAATGCAGAGAACGGATAAGTTGTATGCATATTCGGGAGATTAGTCACATAGTCTCTTCCGCGCAGCTTTCAGCACACTGAACGTGTAATATACTGCAGAAATAGTGAGGTAATACAATCAAGTGAGCCTGATGACGAAGAACGACAGGATGAATCCAATAACGACGACAACCATGCTCAGGATGACGAGCCAGGTGGTGCCCCAGCTCTTCGATGTGTGGTCGCGCAGCCGGACGCGCTCCTTGGTCATCATATCGTAGTTCCTCCCGACCTTCTCCTGCGCCTCTTGTACGACCGCCTTATCCTTCTCGAGCGCACCGGCAAAGTGTATCATGTTGCGCTTCAGCTGCGCCGCCATGTTGACGAGCTGCTCGGACATCTCTTCCTGTAGCGCCGCCGAGTTCTGGAGGAACGCGGGCTTGCCCACGGACGTCGTTGACGCAGCCGTGCTGGCGGACTTTTCGGAGATTGGAAAAGGGTCTGCTGGCATAAGGGGTGCAGAGCCGAGTGGAAACGTTGAGGATGGTGGTGGTAGGGTGTCGGACGGGGACAAGAGTAGATCCTGAGCGGCAAGGTCGGTTACTGGGTCGCCAGAAGACGCATTCAGAGAGCTCGCTTCAGATATAGACGTAGGTGGCAGATGGCGAGCAGATGGCGCAGGTAATGGGAGGGATGAGAGGATGGAAGGCGGGCGCACAGCTTGGGTGCGACACGCTTGCAAATATATCAGCGAAAATTTCAACGTATTCATGATCCCCACGTACTTCGTTCACGTCTTGCACGACACGGTCAAGCCTGTCTAATATGCGTCTCAATTCGTCATAATGTTGCGTTGAGGACCTGAAAAGCTGTCAGATGCTAGAGACCAAGACAGCTTCGAAGGACTCACGAAGACTCGTCCAAGTCGTGGTTCAGTTCCACATTCTTGAGCAGCCGTCTGGAATACTTGAGTTTCTACTTTGCAAGGCAGTTCAGCGTCGAATATGCTCTGTTTTTGCTCACTAACCTGCATGACGCCCTGCGTCTTGATCCACGCTGCCCTGCTAGGCTCGCGGATGTCCTCGAGCCATTCCTCACTGTCTATGCCCTTCTCGAGTCTCTTGACGAAACGCAAGAGATTGATACGATTATGCACGACTTGCTCTGTCAGCTGGTAGCTCATCGTGGGACGAGAAAGGATAAACTGCCGCAGAGGTGGTCGTGGCAAGTGCGAGCGCGGAGGTCGGCTCGGAAGCAGTTCCAAAGCGCGATGACTGTGTACTGCAAGCGCCCATAGATTTGCCTCTGTCCGCGACGACTAACATATCTTCTGCATTGTTCTCTGTCCTTTACTGCATCTATTACGTCTATTATATCTTCTTGTATCTTTAGTGACGACATTTCTTGCGAATCGGTAACATGGCTCGCGGCAAAAATTCGAATCGGGGCGGATATCGCGGCAACGGTCGCGGCGGCTCCAGAGGTCGAGGGCGAGGTAGTGGTGACCCTATGGACGACTTCTCCGATTTCTCGATATACGATTGGATGAACAGTAAGCATGCAGACCGTGGGTATGTCTCGATTGATATGTACCCGTAGGCAGACGCACCTAGAGGAACGGCCAGTAATGGCTCCAATACGCCCAAGTATAGAGGTCGAGGACGTGGAGATGGATCCTCGACCCCAAGAGGCGGCACTCCAAGAGGCAGCACTTCGAGAGGTGGTACTTCAAGAGGTAGCACTAGAGGCGGCCCTCCAAGAGGCGGCCCTCCAAGAGGCGGCACCCCAAGAGGCAGCACCCCAAGAGGCGGCACTCCAAGAGGCGGCACTCCAAGAGGCGGCACCCCAAGAGGCGGCACTCCAAGAGGCGGCACTCCAAGAGGCGGCACTCCAAGAGGCGGCACTCCAAGAGGCGGCACTCCAAGAGGCGGCACTCCAAGAGGCGGCATCCCAAGAGGCGGCACCCCACGAGGTGGGTTTGCGACATCAAGCAGAGGCTTTGACAGTCCTCGCGGCAGGGGGCGATCGCGGTACAACACACTCAGTGAAATGGAAGACCCTGATCCCGGGATGGGACGAGGCAGAGGCAGTCCTGTCGGCAGAGGAAGGGGACGCGGAGGCAAGAACCTTGCTTCCAAACTGAAAGCAGGCGTCCCGCTTTCGAAACTGCTGTACGAAGATCGGCCACTGTTGAAGCCCATCAAGTTCGTGCGCTCAGTATACACAGCAACATTATTCGAGGAGGAGGAAGATATCTTGCAGCCTTTAGCAGAAGATACCAGTATGCTTTGCGTGCTATGCTACCGTGTTGCGCCGCTCACGTTCATTCTAGCAAATGATGAAGCGAGTCATGTACCGACCGCTGCGCAGATTAACCGCGTCTTCGGGACAGCAGAGGTCGACGCTCCAGAAGAACAGCTCGAGGAGATCGATTTCTCTGATATTGGCAAGCTACAAGCAGAGGTCGACGCTGCTGCTGCGAAGTTGGCAGAATCAAAGACCGAGACCGCCTTAGATGTTGCTGTCGTTGGAGAGAAGTTCACTGGCTTCTACATCGACACGAATCCAGCTCCCGTTAAGGAGGGCACTCATACACGAGACATAAGAGATATCCTCGGCGATGACGACGACGACGACGACGACGAAGTGATTGTCTATGTTGCTCCCCATCCCCGCGCAGGCCCTGTTACTCCGCCTCTGACTCCCGCTGCCGCGGAGTTCATACCGACCACCTCAATATTGACCGGACTTGTTCCACAATTATCTGTAGCAGAGGCTCCAGCGCCTCCTTCCCTCAGCGATACCATTATCGACGCCACGCACGCAGCAGCGCCGGAACATTCTCATGCCAAAGACTTTGGAGGAAGTGCCGAGGAGCATCCTGTGACTATTGCGCCACATGTATTGGAATCTGTCCCCGTTGTCGAGTCGGTGGAAGAGGCACCCGTACCTTCTGTTGAAGCCTTGTCCTCGGCAGAGACAGCTATTGAGCCACAGCAGCCTGCTCTAGAAGCTGAGCAGACAGCGGACGCGACAGCATCAGAGTTCGCTCCCCGGCTCCCCGTGGAACCCGCCCAGCCCTCGGACTCTTCTGCAGAAGCCGGCTTAAGCTCCCAGCCCCCACCTGCCGAGAAATTCACGTTCTCATTCAAGGCAACGACGCAGAAGAAGACCTACACCCGGCGGCCGCACCCCGCGCGTACCCCGCGCTCGCTGCTCAAGCAGGGCGCACGCACGTGCCGCAAGCCGCCGCGCGGCTTCAGCTCGTTCGGTGCGAGCCTCGCGGAAGCACAGCTCCATCGCGAGGACCCGCGCGCGGCCGAGCGGCGCATCGGGGACTCGGACCTCGAGTGGGGCGACGACGCGTCGGATGACGGCGTCGAGGAGCTCGAGAATGGCGTGGGCGACATGGCGGTAGATGATGAGCTCGATATCAATGCGATGAAGAGCTTTGTGAAGAGTATGGGTGCAGAGGGATCCCGTATGGTGACGATGGATGATATTGCGGATGCACAGCACATGCAGGAAGAAGATGAGGAGGGAGAGGAGGGAGAGGGAGAGGGCAGTACGGCTGGGAGCAGTGAGGAGGATAGCGAGCTCGAAGCGGCTGTTCGCATGGAGGAAGAGTTTATGGTCGCGGAAAGTGCTGAGATCGCTGTGGATGATGTGAATGAAGATGGCGAGGAGGACGAAGACGGAGACGAAGACAGCGACGACGACGAGTTTGATAGCCCTCGACGCGGCTTCCAGGCCCGTCTTCAGCGCATCCGCGAGCACGCGGCGAAAGGCAAGGGCAAAGCGAAGGCTGTACAACCTCCTGACAGCGATGAAGACAAGGACGAGGACGACGTCGAGATGACCCTTGAGCGATCTTGGGCAGACGAAGATGAAGACTTCATTGCGCATATACAGGTATGCTCATATTGCGATCATACGCCATTTCACTCTAATAGGCGGTACAGGATCTAGTCGATGAGGGCCAGGAGATCCTCAGTCGTAAGGACCATAAGCTGCAGAACGAGCTTTTCCGGTTGATTCGCGATGGCGAAATTGATTATGATGAATATGAAGAGCTCATGGGCCGTCCAGCCAGTATGTCACATCTTTTTTCTTCTGACCTTGGCCTTATGTCATGGATGCAGGGCGAAATAAAGACAAGTACAAAGATCTACCCGACGAGCTACAGGCGCAATGGGAGGCCGACCGCGCAAAGAAGGCGGAGAACAAGCGGAAACGCGCGCAGACACGGCTGGAGGCCGAGGCCGATCCTCTCACGAAGAAGAAGGGCGGAAAGAAGGGCATGAAGGCGATGCTCGCCGCGGCGCGGTACGAGGGCGAGGAGGAGCTCCCGAACAGGATCGTTGACCTCGCGACACTCGAGAAGCAGATCCGGCGGTTCCTGGCTAACATTGGCGGGCCGCGGACGATGAGCACGCCGCCGGCGGACAAGGAAGCGCGGAAGCAGATCCACGAGCTGGCGAACGCGTTCAGCCTGAAGAGCCAGAGCAAGGGCAAGGGCAACACACGCTACACTGTTCTGACAAAGACGACGAAGAGTGGGACCAACGTCAACGAGTGGAAGATTCGCAGGATCTTGAATGTGTCTGGGTATTGGGACACCACTGGGTCAGCGCGTGGCGGGAACGGCAAGGGAGTTTCTTTGGCTAAACATCATGAGGGAGAAGAGGTCGGGAAGGTATGCCGTTGTAGTACATCTCACTCTCCTATGGTAACTCATACTTCATTTGAAGGCCGCACCCAAGATTAACGCGAGCAACATCGGCTTCCAGATGCTCGCGTCCATGGGCTGGGCCGAGGGCGACCGCATCGGTCTCTCCGGCGGGCTGGAGGCGCCGCTAACTGCGAAGATGAAGAAGACGAAGCTTGGTCTTGGTGCAATGCCGATTTTTTGATTGTCATGCGAATGTACGACAGGAGGCGTTGCTTCATATCTTGGACAATATAGCCTTCTTCGAGGCAAAGGCATGTACTTTGGGTGTAAGGTATCGTGGTTAGCGGGGTCATCAATAAGCAGCGACATGTGGCATACTTATCGCCCCCGCTTGTCCATATTGGAAGCTAAACACACTGCTTTACAACCGGAACGAGTGTAATCTGAAGCTGCTGTAGCTTTGGAAACGTGGGTGGAAGTCAGCCTGGATGTTCGAGCACGATTTGTCCTTGTGAGTACCGGCAGGGACCGCTGACCCAGAAACTGTCTTATTAGATACGGTCGTATGATCGATTGACCTCGACAGTCAATATCAATATCGTAAGCAATGTCTGCACTGGCACATTCAGCCATGTCCGCTCGGTCGAGCTGGAGGATTAATTGCGCAGATCTAGACAACCTCGCAGCGCCCGTACGCGGCGCTCATGATTCACCAGACGTCAAACTGCAGGGTCGGTAGTCCCTACGCGGAAACATGGGCTATCATCGGGCTTGCCTGTTCTTGGGCAATGATACTAGTAGGATCCGACGCTCAAAGTCTTAGCGTTATAGAAGTAACTCCAGGTGAGCATCACTCGTCACTGGCAGATTATCGTACTCAGAGTACCCTCAAGATACTTCATCGCCGATTTGTTGGTACTATATTGCACGCCCATTTCGGCAAGGCAAACATCTCGGTTCGAGCCGTCAAATCTGCGTCTTCCAGACGGCAGCGGCGAGGCTCGATCCGCTCGCCGAAGTGCCCGAGCCGACTCAAAACGACGCGACGACGACGAGAGCAGGATTCGAGTAACGGGAAGCTAGGCGTCAGCGTTGTCAGTCATATGTACGAAAGAACAACGCAGGGAGGAGAAACACACCAAGGCGACGATTCAACGATCAAAGCATCCGTCGTTACGCGCGTCGGGACTAACGTGAAGGTGCTGGCCTCGCTCCGTGAGCTGTTTGGACCGCCCGACCTCGGGACACTGGCGCAGCTCCTTTAAGGTCTGACGCCACCTTGTCTGGTTGCTCGCCCCAGCCTAGGTCTCTGCGCTTGGTAACAATTCTGCAGTGACAAACACATGTAAGCACCTAATTTGTGAGTAGAAATGATATACGTACGCGTGCAAACGATGGCTTTCGTATCTCGTCGAGCTCCTCGCTGCGCAAGGCCGCTGCGCGCTTCTGCCATTACTTGCACCGCCTTGCATGCTGTTGATCACCGCTTGAATAGACATCTCCAACGGAGAGGCCGCAACTCACGCTCATGATGGCTCTATTCTTCCGCGGTCATCTCGCGGACGCCTGGGGCGAGGTGCCAATGGCCTCTGCTACCACCGTCTGTACTTACAACAGCCATCAACGTTGGCACGTGTACAGCAGGCGAGCTACGCACTGCTCGTGTACGGGAGCACCATGTTGGAGCAAAACTTGGTGAAGAGGCTCGCGCGATAATCGGGGCACTACCTGAGGCTGGTCCAGCAAGAACGTTCAGCACATGGCGCTACGTTGGTGCGTTTGATGGAAAGCTCGCTTTTCATCTGTTCTGCGCTGTGGGCAATAGTACCGCACGTGTAAGGCCCACAGGATAGTTTTAGTCTCAGCCTGCAGACACCCCCAGAGTATGGCATCAGCACGTCGCGCCTATGCATGTGCAGTCGTTCTTACATGGCAGTGCGTGCCAAAGGCTAGATTTGGATACGCAGGCTCGCTGAGGTCGCTGGGGCAGTTGGGCAGCTCCAAGACGTTCTGTCGTACAGCCCTCCACAGGGGTGCGGCCGAGCGTATCATGAGAAAGCACCGAAAGTCCCTGCTTGTTCTTGCATGAGATGGCTCATGACCTACAAGTATGGCCCACAAGTCGTCAGTATGCAATGGGAAGGGCGAGGCAAGCGACATCTGCGCGACACACCTCTACGAGGATGTCAACAGGCACGTGCAGCATGCTCTCAAGGCTGCCGCGTTTGTTCTTTGTCGTGTGGGCTGTACCATCTTTGTGAGGCATGTCGTATTTGCGGACTGCAGCTTTCGCGGCGGAGGCTCTACGTGCATGGGGCATGGCATCGAACAAGGATGGCATTATTCCGTTTGGGGTAGGGCGCATCACTATTGATGCGCCATCACGGTAAATTATGGCGTCTAGTGACTTCCCGCGACATGTTCTTTGTCTCCTGCAAACTGCCGACACTCTCCCCCTGCCCCCTGCGCTCACAGTATCCTGCTCGATTTTCGTTGAAGGATCTACTGCACGAGGAATCTCTTGTTCTAGTCCCGCGTAACACACCATCGCGATGTTTGAACCCGTCAGAGGAGGGACCCGAGGAGGACAAGCCGAGTTCAAGTGGTCAGATGTCTCACAGGACAAGGACCGTGAGGTACGTCTTGAGGTGTTCAAAGGAAAACAAGATCTTAGTGATCTGAGACTGGCTGTAGAACTACCTGGGGCATAGTATCAACGCACCCGCCGGACGATGGCAGAAGAACAAGGACATCCACTGGTACCAGCGAGACAATCGCGACGACGAGGCAGAAAGACGAGAAGAGATTAAGCGAGTAAAAGAACAGGAGGCGGAGGCCTTGGCTGCTGCGTTGTATGTCCCTTGACAGCCTTGTTCTGTGAAACTCAGCTCACGTCGCGGGTTCGCAGAGGATTCGCCACCGGCGCCAAGCCTGGCACCTCCGGTGCTGTCGCAGGTCCAGCAACAGGTGCGAACGCCGTCGCCGTGCCGCCGGCTACGGCATCCACCTCCGAGGGTGATCTGGAGAAAGAAGAGAGGCGGAAGCGAAAGGCTGAACGGAAGGAGGAGAAGAGGGCGAAGAAAGAGGAGAAGAAGAGGCGGAGGGCTGAGCGGGAGGACGAGGAGCACAGCGGCAGGCGGCGCCCCGGCCTGTCACGGTCGCGCTCTCCGCGCAGACGGCCCCGGGAGTACGACCATCGCTCGCGGAGCCGGCAGCGGTCGAGGACGCCTGTGAGGCCGGAGCGCGACGCGAGTCCGTACGGTGATGTAGCGCGCGAGAGGGAGCGAGAGCGAGACCGGCGGCGCTGGAGCGACCATGCTCGACGCGAGCGGGCTGGCGCGCGGTGGGGGCGTGATTAATCACCGGCGACTTGACCCTCGGACGACACGGGCTGTTGCGGATGCTTCTGCATGTTTCATTAGACATCTCCTGGCACGGAGCGATTTGATATTTTGGCGCGGCAACGAGTCTGGCGCACTGCAGCAGTCGTCGACGGGGATCAAGAGCGGAGAGAATGTGTCCTGCACCGTCGGGCGTGTGTCTGAGCAGGTGGTGTGCGAGGGCGCGAGGGCGTCTCTGGCGCGCCTCGCCTGCGAGCGACGGCTGGAGGAGCGAGCAAATGCGTCCGAGGGCTGGTATAGTGTCCGATTTGATGCAGGCGGCAGGGGAACTGTCATGTTCACACAGCAATGATTTGCCAATTGGCCCCTTCGACTTCGATGGACGGAGTTCGCCAACCTGGCGGGCACTGCCCAGCAGCGTTAGGCTGAACGTTGACTGGGACCCACAAGGCGACACTGCGAGTCACACGAGCTCTGCTCTCACAGTGCGCCACCGCGAGGCGTCTCGCATGCGGCGTGTCGGAGGACGTGGCGCGCTCGCAGGCTGTGTCCGTCGCTCTCCGCCGTCTCAAACTCCATCTCCCTGGAGAATTATGCCGACGGTATCGGCGTGGTCGCATCCGCCCTTGGCGAAACGCGCCACGCAGCCCGTGAAACACCAGCGGCCATGCCCGCGGCGGACCTGCGGTCTCTACGAACCTGCACCGTTTCCCGCTACCCACATTTAGACAAGGCTGCCGTGCCTGGAGGGGCTACACAGGCTCTCTTTCGCCTGAGCCCGCATCCCCAGTCCAGTCTCAGGTCCACAGGGTCGTCAGAGTCACTCTAAAGTGTTTTTGCACTCCACCGCGTTGGCTCCGGGGCGCGCGTTGCCGACGCCACTACCGTGCAAGCCATCGCGCACATTCTCGTCCTAGTCTGCACCCACGCCCTTCTCCGGTGTCAATAACGGTGGCAGCAGCAATACCGCGGCTCTGTCATTAGCCAACACAGGTTTCAGATACATTGCTCACAGACGGCCCGCAGCAGCCTCTCACCTCCACAGAACTGCCCACAGCGTAACCATGAAATTCATGAACTATCTGTTTCACCAACATAGCTAGGCGCCCAGCTGCGGGCGCGACGGAACGCGCACGTCGCGATGGCCGGCTCGTGTGAAAGGTGGCAACGAACTGTCAACCCGTTTACCGACAGTTGCCAGCGACCAACCACGGCGCGCCTTCTCGGCCCAATCCCCGCCTGTCCGCTCGTCATTATCCTTCATGTCTGGCGGCCAGAACGGTGTTTCCGCGGCCGTGCGCTCGTTCCGGGAGAGGCGTAGCGCCCTCGGGCAGCATGGATCTCACTACGGCCCTCGGAACTGAACGACGCGGACGGGATGCCATGCGCGGCCAACATGGTTCGTCCATTCATGCGCCGTGACTAATGCCACTAACCGCACTACGCTGCACTGCCAGGAGCTGATCTCGCCACCTTGGCCTGATCGCAGGCGGGCCATGACACCGCGCGGCAGTCGGGCTCGGGAGAGGCTGCATGAAATCTTAGGATATGGGGACATCCGCCCCGTGGATCGAAGCAGCAGCCACCAGGCCGTCGTGGCAGCCCCCGGACGTTCGGACATGCGCCAAGCAGCCGGGAAGTGACGCAGCCCGAAGCAACGACCAAACTCGGCTAGCTTCACGTCTGCTACCGCTGAGATGTCTGGAGTAGAAATACCAGGGAGCGTGTGCGTCCTCTGTCCCTCCCCACCACCCTCCTTCTCGGCATCACGTGTGCCTAGCATCGCCTTCAAGTGTCCTTGTCCTAGGCTTTCGAAGCGGTGTTCCTTCCTTTGACTCGTACATACTTAAAGGCATCCTCCAGTCCAACTCGGCCTCGCCACCGCCCCAGCCGCCACTCCAATCCTTCGTCCCTCTCTCTAATCTCTTGTATACTAAGTATCTGCACCGCAATGTCCACCGTCAAGGGCCTCGACATCTTCTTTGAAGACACCACGGGCGACATCGCCCACTCAGACTTTGTTGACTACTACAACCGGATGTCGTTCCAGGTCCGCCTCCAACAACGCCAGAGCGATCGCGTGACCTATGCCGTCTGCGACACCATGACCACCGCTGGCCGGCTCGCCTTTGGGCCCACTCTCTCTACACTCGTGTTTGGCGCGAACAACGCCCTGGGCACCGTCCAGTACCACCATAAGCAGGAAGTGAGCATGGAGCAATATCTCTCCAGGGTATCTGGGTACGTGGTTGTGTGCAGGGCCAACGTTGTCGTGGCTGATGATGCGTTGTTCAGCTCCTTGTGTCGCAAGTTCAAGGGATCGGACGGACGGGTCTATACCTGGACGTTCGTAAGCACTTCCGAATGCGAGGAGTGGGCGGTACGTCATGCGTTTCTGCTTTGTCGTCGTCTATCTGAGACATGTGTTAGTGCACTGCCAACGGTGCTGAGGTCGCGGCCTACGACACCGAAAACCAAGCGACCAGGAATCCTCAGGATTCAAACCGTAGGGGCTCTGGAAAGCAGCTATGGATCAGCGAGAACTTCCAGCAGCTCGCTGGCGGTATGTACCACTGCCTCGCCCGCCAAGACATGCTCTAAACCCTTTCTAGAGCTCATCATTACTCTGATCATCATGCGCCACATCCGCAAGTACGGTTTGTGATTGCTCTCGCTTCCACTGTCTCCTTTAGCATGCTAAGCATACGGGCTCTCGGATAATCCCGCCACTCTCCCTACCCTAACCATACCTAATCCTCCCCCCTGCCGTGCTGTGCGTCTGGCGTTGTATTTATCTACTAATGTGTACGTCATCCTTACCCGATAGCTGTACATTTCTTTTTCCCTTGTACTTGTTACGTCTTCCGGCCAGCTCGTAGGACGCGCTCTCTAGCCTAGTATCTCCGCTAATCAGATCTTGTCTCGCGTCCTCACCTGCATGCACACGCAACATTCCCCGCGCGTCCGCCGCCCGACACGCACGCCTCGTCGTCAGCGGCCGCCGCGACGCGCTGTGCCCGGGCACACAGTCTGTCTTTGTGGGAGCATTAACGCGGGAGCAGAGCTTATCGGAACCGAGGGTATTCGCGTGCCTGGATCGATCCGCCGCCGGCGGGCCAGGCAGGCAGGCAGGGCTTGGCGCCACGCTTGTGATCCGCTTTGACCTTCGTTCGGAACGGGAAGTGACTCGGCGCGCCTCCGAGCGGAGTCAACCTTTTTTTTTTTGCATTGTCGCGCAGCCGCACTGACTCGACGCCTTGGCGACGTGACATAAGTCGACGACGCACGCACGTCCGCCCGCCCGCCTCGGGCTCACCACTTTCCCTCCCCACCCAAAAACAAATCTCGGTTGACGATGAGTGTGCGCCCCGCGAGCACGCGTGTGCCGTCCCTGCGCGGCGACGGCCGAGGCTGCTACAGAGTCTGGGTCATCGGGAATAGCGGTGAGTCTTCCAGAGCACGGAGGAGAGCTCCTTCTCTGAACATCTCCCCCCCCCCTCTTGCGCGCGTGCGGCGACGGCAGGGTCGGGAAAGGTCTGTGCAAGACGGGGCGCGTTGCTGGGCGCCCGGGGGGCTGAAAAACACTGGCTGACCGCTTTGAACCTAGTCTACGCTCGGGACGGAGCTCGCCGCGCTCCTCGGCGTGCCCCTCCTCTCGCTCGACGAGCTCTTCTGGCGCCCCAACTGGGACCAGGCGCCGCCCGACGAGTTCCGCAGAGAGGTGCGGCGCGCGCTCGACGCTGCACCCACCGGGTGGGTCGTCGACGGCAATTATGAGAAGAGGCTCAGGACCATGGTCAGCGAGCAGGCGACAGACATAATTTGTGAGACATTTGTTTTCCGTTTATTCTCCTCGCGGCGCGCACTGCGTTGCTATAACTCTGTTTTTTTCCCTGTGTGTCAGGGCTGGACCCGCCGCTCCTGCTGTACTTCCCGCGGATCTGCGTCCGCACGTTCGGTCGCCTGCTGGGCATCGTCCCGCAGTGCAGTCCAGGCTGCCCCGAACGTGTAAGTAAGGTCTTCTCCAGGGAAAGCATACTCTGGTGGTGCTTGAGCAATCATTGGGTGGCTCGAAAGCGCGAGAGAGAACGATTCCTTCTCGAGGGGATACATGTTGGCGGAAAGATGCGACGCATTGGTGGGTGGGGCCGCGAGCTCGCTGAGTGGAAGCTTGCAGTCAGAGCAATGATCTCTTTCGCTGGAGTAAATTTATAGATACATAGTCTCGTACAAGTTACCATCTGTCAAAAGCTTCTGGGAATATATGATACCAAGTGAAGAATACATCAGTCGTTGCACAAGACTCAATAATTAATCTCCTTGGTGTTAGTCATGAAGCGGGCAGAAGCGACAAGGATCTTTTCCATAACAGCCAGCTCCCGCTCGTCTCTCGGAGCATAGATCCAGATGTATTCCTTCGGCAACTTCGCTTCCTTTGGGAAGGGCAGCGCGTGAAGACTGCGCGAGCCACTGATCTTGTGGCGTTCGCCCCAGCCTCGTTCAATAACTGAAGAAGGGTCAGAGGGCGATGGACCGCAACAAGACTGACTAACGTACCAAACTTGCAATCTTGAGGTGCCATAATGACGTGCACCGAGTGGTCACTGGGGTGGATGTGGCCGACCTCGCGCAGGCCAAAATGGAGGACGTGATGGGACGCAGGCGCGCTCTGCTTCACGACGATGCCGTTGTGCCGCTTCTCGTGCGGCGACTTGCTGTACTCGAGCAGGCCCGGGTTCAGGCGCACGACGCGGTCGAAGAGCTCGTCCAAACGCTGCACACCACGAAAATGAGACATCGCGGCAACGTACGAGCACACAGCAGGGGAGGCCGCTACTCACCTGGAACATCTCCCCGGACGGCACCTGGTCGAGTTGCCTCGCAGGCACGACGTGGAAGCCCCCGCTCGGCCGCGCGCCCTGCCTCCGCGGGATGCCCTCCCGGTCGTCGAGCCAACTGTCCTTGTTCGCGTCCGCGTCGTATTCCGCGGTGCTCAGCGTCTCCCGCGAGAACGCCTTGAGGACGAGGGCCATGAGCCAGCCCCGCACGTCGTACGGCAGCCCGCCGGGGCCGAGAGCCTTGAACTCGAGATAGTTGCTGCGCAGCCACAGAGAGGACAGGCCGAGGACCGCCGCGGCTGTGATGAACACACCAGGCTGCCGCCTGAACGCTGCAGGGGCTGTGCGGGTGAGCTCTTCGATGCGCCGAGAGACGATTGCGAGGTATTCGGAGTGCGTTGAGCTCATTGTAAACGACGTCGGGGGATTGAGAATGGACGGGAACTGAGCAGCGGGCCTCTAGCCAAGTATATGGGCAGCTGTGGCTAGGGGGCGGACGCTTGCCGCCCGGGCGATGTACGTCAGTCGGCGGCTGGCGGCGGGTTAAGGCTGTGGAGTCGACTGTCGCGGCTTGAGAGGTACTCGCTGAGCTCGCTCTAGCTTTCTCCGGATGATAATGAGACTGCGGGGACGTCAAGAGGACACTCGGGAACCATATCGAGGGCTGGCGCGCATCGGAGGCAAGAAGGTCCGAGTGGGGCACATCGTGATGAGGATTTGTGAATAGTTCGGGAACTAAGTAATATTGTTGCAACAGTCTATAGAACAGATGTCGCAGCTGACGTAGCTTCTGGTATGATCAGCTGCCGAGACAACGTTATACAACTCGAGAAGACTCTAAAGCGTAGATGTAACCATGCGTGCGGAGGCAAAGGCAGGTGTGGGGATAAGTGCTAAGGGCTGCAAACTATATGGCTAGTAATGGCAGGTTAAGGAGAGAAGCATAGCGTGAAAGACACGATTGTACAAATAGAATACAGACAAAGCAAGGGCTATAGGTTGTACAGATGTCAATAATGCAATGTTGAAAGCTGATAAAAATGTGAAAGAACGTGAATGACTGAGGAATCAATTAAGCGGAGCGCAGCATGGGTGGAAGCGTAACATGGGTGGAGAGAGGGGTCGCGATCCCGGCCTGCAGACAGGCCTCGCGGAGTCGGTCTCTGAGAGTCTCGGTACGGGTCCGCTGGACTGCACGAAGGACAGGCCGTCAGTGTCATGTGCTTGCAAGGATCGAATCAGTCAACTCACCAGGGCAGGGCCATAGGGCATCGAGAGTGTCAAGAGGGATGAGGAAGGTCTTCCCGAGCTCCAGGGCTTGAAGTAGAGACCTGTCGTAGCCCCAAAGCGCGAGGCATATGGACACCTGGCTCGCAAACCAGAGGGATTGGAAGGGACGCCTGGTCAGGAGGTGGCCCCGTTTCTCGCCAACCTCAAGAACAGCGTTCTTCACCCGCTGCGCGACCTGATCCTGGTAGTACACTAAACCAGCCTGTAAGTCCATATCAGCCTACGGCATTACACTGAGACGTACACCACTCCTGAGCCTGGCGGCGGTTGAAGAGAGGAGCGCCGATAGTCGCTGGGTCCTGCAAGCTGCTGGAAGGACTTAGGGCTCTGGCAACGTCGCGAAGGGTGTCTACACTTACCGACGGAATTCAGAGGTGATCTCGAGGCGTGTGCTACACAGAGAGGATATCAACAAAACCGTCAAACAGCCGACGAGTAGTGAGCACTCACTTGTAGAGGTATTCGCGGGAGATGTACATGACGGCGGTGTCGAGATTGCACTTGTGCATATTAATGCCGTCCTGGACCATGCGGGTCTCGGTCCACGCAGCGATGGCGAAGTCCGCACGCTCGTCGTTCGTCCAGGTGTCCCTGGGCCGGATAGCGCTGATCCAGAGAAGCATGCTGCGACAATAGAGGGCCCAGACGGAGTCCTTGGGAGATTGGCCCGGGATGCGGTGTCGTGGGTTACGCTCGTATGCTTCGCCGGGGAAGAGTATACAGTACTGTGTGCAGTGCCATCAGTCTCTCACCAGGTCAGACCACCAGCGAGCCCACTCACATTAGAGGGTTCCATAAGGCCGAGATCAAGGGGAGACTGATGGAACGCGACGGATTGAGCAGTATAGTTGGCAATTAGGTTGAGGGCACTCCAGCAGATGCGCCGGGACTCCTCCTTGACGATGTCCACGTCAGCCCAATTAGGGTCCCAAGGCGGGTTGAAAGCGAAAGAGAATGAGTAGTGCTGCGGGGGTACAGCAGAAGCCATGGAAGGAGCAGTGGTAGCAGATCGGATGCAGGAACACATCTCTGGAGAGGCATAGCCGGCGGGATGAAACACCATCGGGATAGTGCGTGGGCTGTAGATGCAGGCGTCGGGGTCGTTCATGTCGGTCATGGGGAGCTTGAGAGCTAGGATAATGCTATCCATAAACTGGAGAGCTTCATCGGCCCTACTTTGCGAATGCTCGGGATGGCTGGACGATTCGAAGATGGCTAGGATCTGCCGACATCCGGTCAGAGGTATTCAGCGTGAATGCATGATGATGGCAACGGAACACTCACGATGGACGCCTCAGCAAGCCTCATGTCCACATGGCGAGCATGGCAAGCGGCTTCGAGAGCCGCTTGAGCCGAGTTACGTAGTGAAACAGCCCGTGCACGTCCCTGGGCTCCGCACTCGAGCTCACTCGACCTCATCAGAGTCGAGAGGGCCAGAGCAGACAGCACGAGGGCTGGCTGCAGAGTGGGCCGCGTATGCATGTGATGGAGATCCCGGAATAGAATTTGTCGATTAAAGAAGAATAACCAGTAGCTGCTAGAGTCAAGCCTGTGAGAAGTCAGTGCCGCACAAAGGGGGGAACATTTTGATGCCTTACAGGAATTTGACGTCGTCGAGAATAGCTTGAAAACTAATATCGTTCTGATCAGACATCCTGCACGGAGGGAACCCACAAAGCACATACGATTCTTCACGGGATCCAGCGTAGGTTGTGAGAAGACTATCCCACCAAGTCTCAATAGCATAGTCGAACGAAGGTGCGGTGGGTATCTGATGTCGCGGCTCCTCCTGGCAGTGATCGGGAGACATAGGAGAATGTGCAATGTGCCTGCCGGCTGGATAATCAATGGTGTGATACGGGTACACAGGAGAATGTTGCGCAAGTGGAGAGAGGCCATCCTGCTAGCACTGAATTAAATACTGGTTGATGGAACACCACGCGAGAGGAGAGAGACGAGACACTTTACTTTAGGATATATTACTTCAGATGACATTCCGCGTGCTTGAGCCGACGTATCGAGGACGAGCGGCGGCGCCTGCGGCATACGAAGGCCCGTAGCCTCATCTGGTATATGTGCGGCTGGTACCAGGGAAGGACGCTTCGCACCGTTGGTGGTTCCAACTCGCTCATCAAAGCCAACTGAGCTCCCATCATCGTCGTCCTCAATCTTGCGTCTCTTCTTCGCATTCGAAGTCGGCGGGTCTGCCTCGGGTGGGCGTTTCTTGCAGGAGCGCTGCCGTGTGCCGGGACGCTTATCGGGCCCTCGCCGCTTTGGTTTGGCGTCGTACTCGCAGTCGTTGCCGCGGCGAATGCAATTATTGCAATGCGGTCTCGTGGAGTCGCAACGTATCTTGCGCGCGCGACTGGTCATGCCAACAAATTGCAGGATTGAGTCAACAGGGGTAAATGGATATGCATTAGTCTGATGGTACGCACCATTGACGGCACGCAATTACGACGTTGGATGCTTCTCGACGAGGTCGCGACGCGGCGGACTGGGCGTCATTGCCCGACGGGTTGCCTTTTACGGCAGGTGAGATGGGGACAGGGGGCGAGGGCTTGTGTTCGGGAGGAGGCGCCATTGCGAAGGTGGCGGCTCGAGACGAAGAGGGCAAACTGTCGTAAGCAACAACGTGCATTTGTTGCTCTGCCGATCTGCCCTGGTGTAGATTAAACGTGTATTCGCCTACAGGACTTAAAGCGGGAGGCTGTATTGGCAGGGACGACTCGAGGGCCAAATTAAGCACAGGCTGCTGCTGCAGGCCAAAGCAGACATGGTCCTGAGGATGTGGTAGCAGCTGCTCAACTGTCGCGCTCGGTGGCTGTAATGTCTCCAGGAGATGATTGCCCGGCATCTGTATATTGTGCCGCCCAAAGCGCGCGTCAAAGTGCTGAGCAATGAACGAGGTTGAAGCATCGGGAAGGTGTGGGTGGTGGTGGCCTAGGTGATGATAGCGGACTTTTTATGTGCGTTGTCATATGAGCCACCACGCCAAACGCTAAGAGCGGACTAGGCTGTGCTCACCCTCTGGATAAGCTGGCTCAAATATAGGCGAGTGAATATCAGAAGTGGAACCTTCCTCGCTAGATTGGACACCGTCCTCGATGACCAGACGGGGCGGAAAGGGGGTATACAGCTCAGCGTTCGCTGCAGCGACCATCTCTGCGGCACAACGGAGACGAGGAGAGGTAGAAACCGGCAGATCAAGGCATGGAGGGCTGGAAAGAGGCGGGTATAGATATGAAACCACGCGAGGGGTCCCGGGGAAGCTAGAACAAACTTTTGTGGGATCTCATGCTCACGGGTAATGAGTTTTGGAGACGCGCGCACGATGGATCTCACAAGGGAGGGCCCTGACAAATATTAACGTGTCAACAGGTGCAATCACGTCTCTGCGCTGTACTTGGCTCACATATCTCCTTTGAGTCGGCTTTCGGGGAACATCCTCTGATCCATCTTCCGAACTGACCCTCGTTCCTTTCTTTGACGCAGAATTGGCACTCGGTGATTAGTCTTCCCGCACGGACAGTTCTGTCAATCTCCGTCCTTATTCTCGCACATCTCCAGCCAATGGCCGCGTGCATTGCCCTCCTGAAACGCTCTGATCGCACGTTGTGGCAAACCTACAGCTACGAATCCGGCAGCACGTTCCGTTCATGCCCTTCCTCTCAATAACCAATGCACGCATCCAGTTCACAGCACCATTTGCACTGGAGCCTTTGCGTCAAACTGATAGAAGTGTATAAGGCGGCCCTGTAGCCTGGCGTTCCTGGGACCGCCTGCGAGTTTCTGACCACGAGAACCCAAGCATCCCGAGATTTCAGCGAGGCTGGTGTTTTGCCAGGGATAACTATGTCCCGTTCGATCGGCCAAGCCCAATTGCCATGACTTCTCAGATGATGCAGTCAGTGGGCAGGGTTGTCGCAAAGGCGCAGTTCGTACCCTCTGCCGCCTCTCACGACCTTCGTCAGCGTGGCGCGACATCCACAGCGAAGTGGTGGCACCGCTCCTTCGATCCTCCATTCCAGAAGCCCAGTGGAACGCAGCATGATGAGAGGCGTACCATGACGACCTCAACCCGCTACTGTTCATCCGCTAATCCACTGATGGAGCCCGAGGGATACGAGACCGCCACGGTAAGATACAGCAAGTGTCAGCAACTGGCCACCTGAAACACTGGTCGACCAGTGACTCACCTGCGAAAGGGGTGACCTGGCCGTGCCTGTCATGGGGAGAAGGACCCTCTGATGGCACCAAAGTTGTAGCCCCAAAGCGCGAGTACTATTGTTGACGCATCGACGTGCGCCCCAGGGGAACTTACGAGCTTCTCCTTCAAAATGTCTGGACCATGCGACTGCCGACCCGGTCCTTCGTGATGGCGGACTCACGCAGAGTTACGTGGTTAAATGGATCTGGCGCACCGTTGCGCGCAGAAGTGCACAGCATGTCCTCGCGACCTGGTCAGCCTCCCGACGTCGAGTGAGGCCTAACACCGACTTGTCACTTCTTTCGCAGAGTCCAGGCTTCGCGTACCGAACCCCTCCCGTCGGGATTCTGCTGCGCACCCGCAAGGGAAGCATTGTCCTGCAGTCGGCGCGTTTCGCGCCGCGAAAGGCCATATGCTCTCACCATCGCCTCCGCAGCACGAGCGTCGCTCTGCTCCCTCTGGTTGGTGCGTTGTTGCTTAGTTTTTCGGGCCAATGTCACCATCGATCGCCCCTTCTTTTAAAGCCTCGACGATAGGGCGACGCCTGCCTCCGCCTGGAGATTGCCAATGATTCCTCAGGGCGCGCTCTTCCTCGGACCGGTACGTTTAGACAACTTTTTTCCGAAGCCATCCCCGCCAGCACCGACGAGCATCCTCTTGCAAAGCCTCTCCTCCATGCCTATGGGCTTCTAACCTCGCTCCTCGCGGGGCGCTGCCAGCCTGACCATCGCAGGCCGGAGTTAGGCGCATTTCTCGGTCCCGGACGATTAAGGTTCGTCTTCTCTTCCAGCCGACCCGCCGAAGGTCAATGCCGCATTGCTCACCACGGATTGCCCTCAACGGATGGTCTGATTGTGCCTTCGGGCTGTGAGAAATTTGTGCCATTCCGCGCGGCGGACTGCACTCATTATATCCTCACCCTGCGCGCGTTGCACCGATACGAGCGGGTGTCAGACATCTTATCTCCTCGATAATCTGTGTTATCATGCGGAAGCTTACAAGGTTAGTATGGAGAGGTGCGATCTGTTGGCCGCAATGAGCCCACATGCGACCACGCACCTTCCTAACGCGGGCGCCAGGCTGAAGGACGTCTCCAAGGCCTATCAGCCCCCGCTCACAGCAGCGTAGCAGTGAAGCCACAGAATTTAACGTAGCAATGTATATGATCGACCGTGAGCGAGTGGGATGTCATATGTAACATCGCTACAGGTGAATCTCCAACACCATCTCGGAGCTTTTAGTGGATTCCTCATGTGAGTAAGAGGGCTCCCGCCTCCTGGTACCGAATCAGACGTCCCTGATCTTCGAGCCAGATGGGCGTAAGCGTCCAGACATCAGCAGCACCAGCCCGAACAGGTGCCCAGTGCGGACTCGATCCCCGCTGAATGGAAGTCCCAGTGACCTCCCGGATCATCCTAAAGTAATTACGGGGCAGACGGGGACGCTGTCGGAATAGGCATAGCTAGACAAGGTCGACGTGTCTGCATATCAAGCTCTGATGCCTCGGAGCCGCCTGGCTGTGTGGGTGTTTGCTTCCTCGATTTTGACTTCGGACCTCTCCGTCCGCTGTGAGTTTTGTAATTCGTGCCCTGCTCCGCTGCAGAGCGCGAATGAGGAGTAGCTTAAGGAGCGCGTCGCAGCGTTCCGCGCACCACGCAGCAACCATATGGGGCGGACATTGAGGACCTCAAGGCTCAGGGTCTGCTGATAAAGGCAACCTTAGCGGAGAAGAGTAGAACTGTGCAAGCCTGTCCGGTCTCGGGGAGCCTGGTTTCCGCCCCTGCGTCAAACCTGTCCAACGCGGAGTACGCTACTGGCTCTTCTAGCCAATGCAAAGTCAACGTGAAAATGGTTATTCCTGCTGTCTGATCGAGAAATGGTACGTCTTGTCGTTTGGGACTAAGTATCTCTTGCCAGCAAAACGGAGCTGAGAGCACTGCCGAGACAGCGTCGCTGCCGATCGATTGAATCGGTCGATCTCTCTCACACCTCGAGTCCGGGAATTGGTACACGCAAGCACGCGAGAAAACGTGCTGGGCGGTGCATCATGTATGTCCTGAGGTTTGAGGGCTCTGTAGCGAAGTGGCGGCTCTGCTGCAGCAGGCAGCCGGCCAGCAGTAGAGATCGGGTAAGCCAATACCGATATGGCAGCCTGAAAGCGAAAAGTCACTAAGGGATCGCACAGCACTGTTAGCAGCACCTACCTGCCGTAAAGCGCGGCAAACCAGGCAGATATGTTTCGCCAGTGTGCACCAATCTCGACAGGAACCACCGGCTGGTCAGTTGCTCGCCTGTAGGGACTGCTTGCCGAATGCCTAGATTCTCAGGGCGACTGACGTTTTGCTGATTTCTAGCCCGGTTACAGCGCAAACTGCACTGGACTATCGGCGCGACGCCCCAGCACGTCTTCGGGGAGTACCCCGCAGCTTCGATCTTAGTGAAGGGAGCGTGGAAGATTGCCTGATCAACGATTCGTCAGTGTGGCGTGTCACGTCTTCAGACCTACTCCAGGTAGGTGCATGGTTTATCCTCGGTACTCACTTCGAGAACACCTGTTCCGCTCGTTTCCGTCTCCATTGTCTCGGATCCACAGACATGTTATAGACAGAGAGACGCCTCTGCAAGGTTATCAGTATCAGGTACGGGACTCCGATTATCCGTCGGTATGGACCACACGAAGGTCCAGGAGATGTATGCCCGCTGGCCATTTTACCACAGATCTTAGCCGGCGGTGAATGAGCCACAGAACAACTGTCCTTATACCGCTACGTGTCAAGCCCTGGCTGAGGTCACAAGTTTACGCAGCAGACCTTTGCCATCCCCGTCAGGTAAACTTTTCGCTGACAGCTGACATAGCTCACTCGGTATCGTGGAAAATTAATGTCCGTTAGAGCCGAGCCTGAGAGCTAAACCATCATCTTCAACAGCCATTCTATGTACATACTCCACATAGTAGACTACTGACCTTGGTTAAAATGATTTGGGGGAGTAGGGTTACGACGGTGGAGTACGTGGCTGAGCTGCTCGACGGTGATGTTGCACCGTTTTCGCGACTCTCACGTTCGTCCCAGACGTTCGCACACATCCTGTGCACATGCTCGCTGTGAAGGAAAGTTCAGCAGGGCGAAGTGTGTCTGCAAACGGTTATCGCACGATTCTAAGAACCTCCCGAATCAAGCTCGGATGTTTTAAGACGCATCACAGCTTGCAGAGGCGTGTCAGGCCGCAGGCGCCCCCACTGCCGGGTTGCTCGCCTAGCTGAATGGAGAACAAGAGCTGTCTCATAGTAACCCCAAGTTGTGGATGATAACGCTAAATACCTGTGAGGCGTTTCTACCCGCGAAGAATCTCAGGAGGGCTCGAGAGCGTGCGGTTTCCGCGCCGTCCGCCAGCCCCGGTTGGGCGCCTATACATCCGGTTGTGGGTCCCCGACACCGGCGGGATCGCCGCCGCTTCGGCACCACCGACCAGCCGACAATCATCGGCGCTTATGCTGCATTGGGAGCTTGCAGCCTGCCAACCGTGCTCATCGCTCTAGTCGATGGCGGGAGCATTTTCCCAGTTTTTCTTGGGCTGTTGTGGGCGAAGAAGGTCATGCTCAGTGGTCAGTACGCTTTGCTAAAGTCTCATCCGGTCCTGAACGTGGCGTAGGGCGAAGCCGACGAACACACCCGCCTTATCCGTCCGGCTCCAGAAAACGAGGTTCCATCGTGAGCTCTCCATCTGTACAACTCCAGGAAACATATTAATGGTTACGAGTATTGATTTCAGACCAGCACCAAACTACGTGGTAGACCAACAAATCATCAGGGACCGCTTGGGGTCTATTGTACGCTCGAAAGAAGGGTGTGTATCCTTCCTCCGACTCTGGTCTGACAACACCTGGATAGCGCCGTCGTTTATGCCTCCATCGGTTGCCTTTTACTATAGAAAAATGGTCAACGTCAATACTCCGCTCCCGTTCAACTTGCACAACAAAGGCGTGCACGACATCGACCCGCCCAGCTCCCGGCCCGCCCGCAGTCGTTCCGCGCATCCTGTCATGGGAGGGCTGGCAGAATCGAGTACAGACATGCTGCCAGACCTCCCATCCCGCATGTCGTCGTACTCTCCCACACGGGGCCGCGACCTTTCGCCGTCACACATGAGCCGGTCGACGACCTCACTCCACCCGGGAGACGCTTCTTATCTTCCACCAGAAGCTTATCCCGACGACGGGAATAGGAGGCCCATCCTCGACGTGCGGCTTGTTCGGGGACCGAGTCCCTATGGCGTGGGAGGCAAGCTCGGACCAAGGAAAGGAGGAAGTGCAGCCAGAGGAAGAATGGGCACCTTCTCGGACCACGCAGAGTCAGATGTACCGGAATATGGTGGAAAAGCTGCCTCGGGGAACGCCGCTGTGGACGCCAGCGAGCACGATGTCGGACAGTCTTCGCAAGAATCGACACCCGAGCTCTCTGGGAACGACAGCGAACCTATTCTGACGGCGGAAGTCGCTCTGCAAGATGTCGGCAAAATTACGTGCAGCTGGGGAGACTAAAGGAGATCCGGATGTCAGCTTACTGAGCAATACATTCTGCCATAACGACCTTCAAGAGTTTCTACGACATTTTCACGATCTTAACCCTCCACTTTGGTTGCATTTACCCATCTCCACTCAGGATGTCTTGTATCATAGTTGGGCTTGGGCTAGCTATCCATCGGACTTATCTGTTGCCAATGTACGCATTTCGTAGATTTCTTCATTGAGCGATGTGTGCTCTCGTCAAGACTACAGGCGCGGTTAAGCGAAGCGCACTCCGTCATGCCGATGCGGGGGACAAGCGCTCAGTCATTCGTTGACCATCACCTTGTTGTGCCCTCAACATTACAGGTCTCGTTCTCAATCGTGATAGTGTCCTTGCATGGCGAATCGAAGGCAGCCTGCAACCACTGCGCCGACACCACAGCCCAAGTTCGCGATCACACTCGAAGAATGGGAAGCGAAAGCACCTCTGGGAGAGCTTGAGATGCGCAGTGTCAACCTCCTGAAATCCGCCAGCGAGAATGCTGCATTGCCTGTGAAGGTACGCCTCACTGTCTACGTGGACACACCCAGTGCTACGTGCAATGGTGAATGGCGAGCATGCTCTGACAGTTGCCGCTTCGAATGGCGCATAGCACCAAGGTGGTCTTCATCGTAGCTGTGGCTTACAGATTCCAAGTTTAGTACTATTGACTCCGGCCCTTCGTCTCGCCCCGCGTCGCCGTCGCTCCGGAACAGGCTTGTGGGCACACCTCGTTCAGGGACACCCGTTGGGAACGTGTCCACGCGTGCGTCCGCCGGCAGCTCGCTGCACCCCAAACACCCGATTCAGACCCCACAGCAATTCTACGACTGGTTTGCATTGATTGATCGCTCGGTAACGCACAGCCAGGAGGCCCACTTTCGCGCACACCTCGCGAGCGTGGCGGAGCATTTGGAAACATGCGACGCGCTCGTGCAGTGGATAGACGAGATTGATTTGGAGGTAGAGAGTATGCTCCAGGGCTGGAGAAGTGTGGAGGAGGGTGGGAAGAGTTTGAAGGATGCTTGCGAGGAATTGTTGGAAGAGAGGGTGAGTGTATGCATCCCCTGATTACTGGACTCTGGCTGACTATGGAGCGTGCCAGGATCGCCTGCTGGAGATGACTGAAGCTATCGGCACGCGTCTAGAATACTTCCAGGAACTCGAGCAGGCTACTCGGATGCTCAATCATCCTGGTGAATCCCTAGTGCTGCAGACCGACTTCCTCTACATGGCTGAGCGCGTCGACATATGTATTGACTACTTGAAAGCTCATGTAAGTGCTTCTACACTGTTGCGAAGAGCTTGTTGTTTAAATGAGTGTGCACAGCGGCATTTTAAAGAGGCAGAGATATACCTCCTGCGGTTCCAACAGTGCATGACGAGAGCCATGACCCTGATCAAGATGTACTTCGTCGGATCCCTCAGAGCCCTTGTCGCGGACGTCACCAAGAGGATATCGGAGAAGGTCTGTTCTGTATATCTGTCCACCGTAAATGCTCATACTGAATCCTTATCAAAAGGACGTGTCCACCACAGCACAGCGCCACTTGCTCTACACAAGGTTCATCACCGTCTCTAGCCAGCTTGCGCCATTGCTAGCCGAACTTGAGCGACGTGCAGAGGCTCATCCGGAGGAACTATCCTCCCTACTTGCCGAATGCCATTCGGCGTACTTCGCAGCTCGCAAAGGGTTGCTTGTTCCTCGCCTGGTCGAGGAAATCAAGGGTCTTGATCCGACGCGGACTGAACTGGTGGAACTGGTAAGACATTATTCTCGTCCGGTAAATAAATTCACCCGGAACGTCACTTTAGACGAGGGCAGGCTGCAGCTATCTGAAACAGTTGTGTACCGATGAGTTTGACCTCTTCCGGCAATTCTTTAACTCGGGAGAAGAGCAACTCTAGTGAGTAATTCGTCTGAGACCGCACGCGGTTGTCTGACGGCGAATTAATGAAGCCAGTACCTCGAGAATCTTTGCGATTACCTGTACGACGACCTCCGGCCTCGCATTCTACATGAGCCCCGCTTGACCGCGCTTTGCGAAGTATGCACCGTGCTCCAAGCGTTGATGGTTCTAGATATCCCCCATCTAGATGAAGACGAGGACGATAACCTAAATCTTGACTTTGATAGACCGTCCGGTCATCGTGGATTGCGCACGCTGCATATTAGTCACTTGCTGCAGATGGTGTTGCAGGACGCTCAAACTAAGCTGTTCTTCAAGGCCCAGTCCGTCATACAGTCCGAAATCAGGTACTACGTACCCAAGCCAGAGGATCTGGCCTATCCAGACAAATTGGTCGGTGAGTTTCATCTGCATTCAGTCGCTCTAAAAATGGCGTTAGCAACATCACTGACGCGTGTGCCGCGGAATTCCTCGCAGCTGCGCGCAAACCTGTCTCGGGCACAGAGATCAAGGAGAAAGAGAGTTTTAGTCAATTGTTTCAGCTAAAGTCCCTCGACAGACAGGAAACGTGGTACCCCACGCTTCGGCGGACTGTATGGGTCCTGTCACAGCTACACGATTTCGTCAAGGTATGAATACATCGTGCATGGTGTCATTTGACGTGTATTCAACGGGGAACTCCCAGCCTGCTATCTTTGACGACATTGCCCAAGAAGCCGTCAACTTGTGTAGACAATCCCTCGTCAACGCCGCTGACACGCTGAAGTCGAAGAACCCGCCGTCATCCATCCTCGATGGCCAGCTGTTCCTTGTGCGGCATGTGCTCATCCTCAAGGAGATAACCCAAAACCTTGATTTCGCATCAAGAGAACCTGAACGAGTAGTTGACTTCACTGGAGTAACAGGTAGGCCGCCCGTTCAGCTATGAAAGAACGTGTTCATCGATACCCGGACAGATACGCTCGCGTCAATACTGGGTAAGACCACGTCCCTGCTGCCCAATGCGCTGTTCGCTTCGCTGGGAATGCCGAGGGAAGAGAGTTTAGCGGACGTCAAACACGTAAGTCGCCGCCTCTGATGGATCTACGGAGCGGCTGCTTATCAATGCTCCACAGGGCATCGACCATGAGTTGAAGCGGTCGTGCGAAGACGTGATAACGTCCTGCGCAGACACGGTCTGCAGGTCACTGCGGGTCTGGCTCGAACGTGTCTCACAGCACAACGCGTTGCCGCAGAAGCAGCCGCTGACTGCGCAGGCGTGGGCGGCCGAAGCTGCCGTCTCTGCGCTTGTTTCGGGCTTCAGGGAGGCGTGCCTCAGGGACCTAAGGGCGGCCGTCGCGAGGCTCAAGCTGTATCTCGAGGAAGACAGAACTGTTGCAGTACTCATGAAGCACGTTCAAGAGAGGATTGTGGACGAGTATGCAGAGTTCAGGAGACTCGTCTGGAGTGAGTACGATGGGCCGGTGAGGAGTGAAGTGAGCAACGAAGAGCCTCTGAGGGCATTATTGCAGGAAGCCTGTGGTTCTGATACGGAGACTGCCGTGGAAGCTGGAGCTTCAACTAAATAACGACGATACACTGCACCCTTTCACTAGCTGCTCAGGACGACTTACGGTATCATTTTGTTGATTACATCGCTTGGACATACCTGCATAGGGGGATAGTGTTACTGCGGGCGCTAGTGAACTCGCGAAAGGTCCCGGTCGTCCGACTGTCTTTTGCTTCAAACCTTCGTGTTGCCTGCCGCTCTTCCGCACTCTTCTGCAGCTTAAACGTCTGGCTTTCCCAACAGCTCAAAATGGTTCACATGCCGCTTGGACGGCGTCGTGGGGCCCGTATTGCAAGTCCGGACCTATGTTCCGATAATTGGCAGAGACTCTAGGCGCATCCCCGACTCGTCGAGTGCAATGCTAATCCCATTCGAGTCAACAGCAGGAAAGTATGATACGTCCCAGCCGCCCCTTTCCTGCAGTCTAGTGCTGGCTCCAGGACTCGACCTCGACCTTTGTCACCCCTTCCGCTGAGATAACAAAGCTACACTTGGTCTTGCCACGCTCTGGATGGACATTAATATGTATGCAACACAGGGTTATCGAGTGGTCACTCGTTCGAGACGTGATCTTGTCCATCATGCATTGCAGTGCGTCGTGCCCCGCTTGTTTCCAGTCGCATTTACTAATTAGTGGCTGCGTTCAGTTGGAAGATACTGGCAGATTATCGTTGGAGTTGATTGCGATGCATACAGCTGCTGCTTGCGAGCTTTTACTTGGGCAATGAGACACAGGACGACCCAGGGCCCCATGGTGCGTCAGTATAGTATTATTTGTGCAGCCCAACCTCATTGCCAAGCCGTTGAACTAGCTGAACTGTGGGGTGCTTCCTTAGCTACCCTGGTGGGCATCTTCTAATCATCGTGTGGACCAAGCCTCTAGGTTGTCTACCTCTTTTTTGGTCGTTTATCGCGCCTTAGGCCATGCGATAATCACTCTTTCCAGGCGACACAGCTCTTGCGGGCGACACCGGCCTCAGCTGGAAGCCAGTCACTGCCGACAATTCCCGGATGACGCCAGAAGTGCGCTGTCCGGGTCCATTAGCGTCTTCCGCATGACGTGCGAAGCCTCAACGGCAAGGCTTTTCACGGCAACCGTTCGCTACGACCTTCAGGGCTGCGACTTCTCAGTCGCACAAGGAGTCCTTGACGTCGTCCACGATGTGCTGAGACACATGCCTTGCCCGACGTTCCCAGCCAAGATGTCAGGTGGTGATGGTTCCCTTGTTGTCCGTCCCCCCTATCTCGCATCAAGCCTTATCGCGCTATCAGCCGCGACGCCGGCTCGCGTGTCGCTCCGCATGCTGGCGGCAACGTCGTCGATGTTGGAGAGTGCGCCTTCGTTGAGTTCGTCGGTCGCTTGTCCGCTCATCCTACTCGGCTTTCGCTTCCCATGTCAAACCCCACTTCTCGCAGTATCGATCATGCCGCCCCTGGGCCCACGTTCTCACCCCGACCTCTCCCTTTGGACATGCCGCCGTCGCATTCCCCCTATTTCCCATCTTATCGAAACTCTGGGTGCTCCTCTACCTGTTTAGATTTCTTGCTTACTAGTTAGGATACGCTGTGTAGGCCAGACAAGTGCAGAGAAATATATTTTTTAATTTCCATCTGAGCTGAAACTCTATGCGTGGACTGGGACCTGTCTTCGGCGCCTGGCCGGATGCAGCCGAACGGGTTTAACTCTTACCACCATCTCGCTTGGTCTCCGTTTGCTCTGCCCTCTCCTCGACGCGTTCGATATCTTCAAAAATGAGCAAAAAGGGTGCTAAGTCACAGCCCAAGGAGACTTCCTACGAAGTTCGCGACGTTGTCCTCGCGAAAGTACGCGGGTACCCCCCCTGGCCAGGCATCGTAAGTCGCACACATTTCGCGTCCTTTCACGTCGATTTCGGCGTCGAAACCCGCGCTTGGAACCGGTGCTAACGTGCATACGCTCTAAACAGATCATCGACCCCGAGAGCGTGCCGAAGAATGTCGCGAAGGAGCGACCCAACGCGAAAAGCAAGAAGGGTAACTGGTACTGCGTTCGCTTCTTCCCGGCCGGTGACTAGTACGTTACGCTTTAGTCGCGCACAACCAGCTATTTACGACTATTTTTGGCGGTTTAGTGCTTGGGTAGTGCCCAAGGACATCTCGAAGCTCCAGCAGCACGAGATCCAGGCCTACATTGATGAGCCGTACAAGAAGTCTGGAGACCTTCTCCAGGGCTACAAGATTGCTCTCGACCCCAAAAAGTGGGAAGAGGAGCGTGAGGCTCTCCAGGCAGAGGCTGCGGAGGAGGAAGCCAACGCCGAGGTTGATCAGCTGGAGGAGAGTGAGGCCGATGAGGGTGCAGAGGACGAAGATGACGAGAAGAAACCGAAGACGAAGAAGCGCAAGCGCGAGTCTGAGGTCGCCTCTGCGAAAAACAAGTCGGTAAAGGTCAAGGCTAAGAAAGAGCCTGCCGAATCGAAGAAGAAGGCCTCTACTGCCAGCAAGAGCAAAAAGAATGGTGTCAAGTCGAAGGCTGTGGTCGAGTCTGAGGATGAAGGTGCCGATGGCGAGGAGGACGAGGATGCTGGGCCCTCTAAGAAGACGTCGCCACCACCTGCTAAGAAACAGAAGCGTGACAAGGACGACGAGGATGTCGATTGTGAGTCTCCCACCGCCGTCTTGCCTTATCAAGCTCCCTTTTTCAACTTATCACACGGCCGGGTCGCTAAATACAAATTCTCAACCCCACAGCCGCTCTAGCAAAGGATCCAGAGGCCGTGAAGGTCAGAGATTGGAGACACAAGCTCCAGAAGGCCTTCCTCAGCAAGTCAGCGCCCAAGGAAGAGGTGATAATTCTGATTTTCGCCGCTCTGTGTTGAGCTGACATCCATTCCACTACTCTAGGATATGCCCGGTTTCGACCAATTGTTCCGCACTGTTGAAGAATATGATAATATGAGCATTCAGTACCTTACAGTGAGTTCGCATCCTTCTCTCATGCGCTGGCAGTCCGCTGCTAGTTGCGGCGGAATCTTGTTTAGTCACGTAATTTCGCATGCGCTGACGTCCTTGCACCCGCTCGCGTCACTTGCAGTTCTCCAAGATTGGCAAGGTCATGCGCCACATCCACGCCCTCTCTACCGACAAAGTCCCGCGCGACGATGAGTTCAAGTTCAGGGAGCGCGCCAAGACTCTCGTCGACAAGTGGCACGACATCCTGTCAGCCAGCAAGGCCTCTGAGGGCGCCGTCCGTAAGCCGGCTACTAACGGCAAGCCGCATACGGAAGAAGCCGGCACCGCGAACGGAAAGGAGGATGCGAATGGCAAAGAGGAGAAAGAGGCTACGTCTGCCACCGAGGAGAAGGATGAAGCGAAGGATAGCATGGAAATCGACGCTAGGGAGGAGGCTGCGCCGGAGACCGCTTCTGAGAAGGCTGAGGAGAAGGACAACGACGCACCCGCTGAGGAAGAGGCAACTCCTGCCGCCGCTGAGTTTGTCGCAGACATCGCAATGTCTGAGGCTGCGTAGAGGAAGCCAGTTCACAAACTTCAATGTTTAGCGAAAAGCTAAGGGATCTCTAATCCAAATTTCTACCGTATCTTTCCCTCTGCTCCTTGTTGTGCTCTCATACGTACCAGAGGACTAAAATCTCTACTCTAGGTGTTGTCGCTGCTCTTTTTCTCCCTCTTCGATCCACGTTCACTGTACACTCCTGCTCCTCATGATTCAACTTGTTCTCCCGGTCCTGTCTCTCATTCAACAACGCACACCTGCAGCCTTGCCCGAGATATACGCTTTGGTAACGTATGGGATATGGTATTTCCACAATGTGAATAATTATGCTACATGCACTGTATGTATGGATAAGGAGAGAGCGAGCGGCGATAAATAAGCAATGTGTAGTGTACGTAACTACCGGAGTCCGACGACAAAGAGGAGGCACGCCATTAGAACGCAGCGGTGACGGGGGTGGACGAACGGACATCTGCCCATGGCGACTCTTCAGTTTCGAAGTACGACAAAGGTCGTCCAGCTGTGAAGCCGAATTGGCCTGGCGACGGTGAATGCGCGATCGAGGAGGCGGCGGTCACGGACATTTCAGGCGGAGAGAGCAACTCGCGATGAGTGGGCTCAACGGCAGTGGGCTCTGCTTCTTCCTCT